CCCCCCGCCCCACTCATCAGCCTGGGAGGCACAGGACACTGTTCGGGTCGTCACCCCCAGCCCTGTGCCCACCCCACGACCCCCTCTACTTGTGTTCCACCTCCTGTCCAGTCCCTCACCTCCTCCTGGTCCCACATCCATCACTGCACCCATTTGCTGGGGCCTACAACAGCAGGGGTCTCCCAGGCCTTGGGGTAGAATCTGGGGGTCTTGGTACTTCCTGGAGACTCCCTGGCACCTTCAGGGCCTCCAAGCTCAATTGCACACATGATTTTGGATCTGGGCCTCAGCTCTTACGCCCTGAGCCTCCTCGTCAACTGCCATGAAGACCCGACTTCCTTTTTTAGGGGTTTCGGTCTTTCCAAAAACACTCTAAAATATTGTGTGGTTAGAGTTTTGACTTTGTTCAGTAATTCATTCATAGGTATGTCTTGAGAGGTGGGGGGAGTGGGAGGGGGTCTCCTCGCTTCTTCCTTTCTCTATCAGTCACTGTGTCTTCAAAGACCCTTCTGGGTTTCTGAATGATGCCACACCCTGGTGTCCAGCACACCTGGTGTCCAGCCCAGCGGGCTCCAGATCAGGGGCTCAGCTCTCGGGGAGAATCCATGCCTGGTGCTCCAGGCTGACCTAACCCTGCAGCCTCGTCTTCACACTGCGTCCTCCTCTTTTGTTCATTGATGTCTTCCCTTTTATGGAAAAAAAAAAAAAAAAAAAGTGAGGCAAACAGTTAGGTGTACAGTTTATAAACTGAAAGGTTCAAATCCACCCCAAGCCTAGTGCTCTGCTTCTGAAAAGTCTGCCATGAAAACCCTATGGGCTCAGCTCTTCTCTGACACACATGGGATCTACTTATGAAAAACCATCCACTGAGAACCCTGTGAGCACAGTTCTACTCTGACACACACAGGGCACCATGAGTGGAATCTACTTATGAACAATCACCCACTGAGAACCCTGTGAGCACAGTTCTATTCTACTCTGACACACACGGGGGCACCATGAGTAGAATCTACTTATGAAACATTATCCACTGAGACCCCTGTGGGCACAGTTCTACTCTGTGCACGTGGGACCACCATGAGCTGGAACAGACTTGAAGGTTTAAGTAGTTTGGTTTCCTCTTTTATAAAACGCTACTCAGATGGCTCAGGACCCACCCACTCCTATAGATCAGATCCCATGGGATCTGATCACATCTGCAAACTCCCTGTTTCCAAACAAGTTCACGTCCACAGGTACTGGTAGTGGCAATGGGGTGTCTAGGGTGTCAGCATCTCTCTGGGGGCAGGATTCAACTCATGACTTACTAACATGTCTGTCTCTGCATCTTTATCTGCATGTGTTATGGGTTGAAGAGTCCTGGGGGCTACGTGGTTAAGTGTTGGGCTGCAGTTCAAACCCACCAGCTGCCCCTCTGGAGACAGATGATTGACAGTCTTGGTAACCCTGAGGAGCAGTTCCACTGTGTGCTATGGGGTCCCTATGAATTGGAAGTGACTTGATGGTAGCGAGTGGTCGGGTTGGCTCTTTGAAATCTTAACCCTTGTACCTGGGAACCTGGCCTTGTTTGGAGAGTTTTTGAAGATGTTCTGGTATCAGGGCATGCTAGAATATGCTGGTGGTGGTGTTATGTGCCGTGGAGTCGGTTCCAACTCATAGCGACCCTGTACAGAGTTTCCCAGGCTGTAAATCTTTACGGGAGCCGAGAGCCTCATCTTTCTCCTGCGGAACAGCTGGGAGTTCCAAACTGCTGACTGTGAGATTAGCAGCCCGATTCGTAACCACTACGCTACCAGAGCTCCTTAGAATCTGGTGGGTCCTGATCATATCCGAGTGCTGTCCTGATAGAAGATTCCCAGAGAGACAGGGCACTGTAGCTGCCCAAGAACCAAAAGCCTGGAGATGGCAGAAGCCTGGGAAGAGGCAGTGGCCTGAGCTCTGGGAAGGAACGTCTGCCAAGTTTCCAACCAGGAGCACAGCAGAGCTGAGCCCAACCCCAGCCCTGAGCTCTCCACCACTGCCTTGGCCACCTCCTGGGCAGCCCTGACTTCCCATGAAGCCAGTGGGAGTGGGTGGGGCCAGAGTGGTCAGCTGAGGTCCTTGCTGGCTCCCTGACGGGGGAGGAATGGAAGGTGTTATACATGGGTGGTACAAGAGGGAGGGCCCTGCCTCCAGAAGCAGCTTGTCCTGCTTTTGACTTTTGATACTTGGAGGGCTCGACAATAACTGAGTGGCAATGCTGTAGGGCATGTGTGTTCCCAGCCCTCTGTTGTGCTGACCGATTTTTCTCAGTTCTAGAGCTATGAAAGCAGAAAGTAAACAGTTGAAGCTCCCAGCTCGCTCCAGCCCTATGTCCTGTCCCCGTGGAGATGGGAGCTCTGCCCTTCACCACGTGGTACACCCCAGTTTTGCATTCCTGTTTTGTTTGTGAACCTTTGTAGTTCTGTGTGTGGTTTCCAGCAAGCATTTCTTCATGTGAGGACAACCGCCAGGCCATGCATGGCTTCGGGGTCTCATACGTGGACACTGAGGGAGATGGTACAAGCAGCCCTGATTACCACTTGGGTCCACAGCAGTGGGTTGTGTCATCCCATGTGGTGACCCCCGGCTGGCCAGCTCTGCTTTTTCACCCTCTCTGGGACCTCCCAGCCACTACCCAATGTGTCCAGCAGATAACGCTGATTGGTGGCCTGCCTTTGGTCTGAAAGCTGCTCAGTGTCATTGGCCGGGATGAGTTACATGTCTGCATACCTGCTCATGTGTCACTGGTGTGAGTCACATGACTGCAGTGCCCCAGTGAAGCTCTGGAAGCCTATGTGAGTCCCACACTCTCTTGAGGACAGAATGCTGATGAGGAAGTAGACTGGGAGGAGTAACTGGAAGTTTCTAGCTGAGTAGCTCTCCCATGTCCATTGTGAATGGCTGAAAGTGGGTGTCTGTCCCTATGGGGTTTTGATCCATTGTCTGCACAAAGGACTGCCGTGATAGCTCTGCTTTCAAATGGCAACATTTAAAGGATGCTGGGAACCGCATCCCAAAGGTGCCCTGGTGAAGGGATCACTGGGCCTGGGGGCTCAGGGGACACCCAGGTCAATTAGCATAGTCCACGAAGGCAATGTGCTATATCCTACTTTGGTGAGTAGTGACAAGGGTCTAGAAAGCTTATGAATGTGACTAAGGCCCTACTACTGGTCGTGCCCTGTCCAGAGAACCAATGGACCACAGGCACATGTCTCTACAACCCAAAACCAGAAGGAAATAGTGCCTGCTTCGAAATTAGAAGGTCCTGGGAGGGAAATGTGGAACAAAAGTCAGTAATCATAAAAAAAGTCCAGGTTTCCTAGACAGATAGAGACTGGTGGAACCTTCCCGCCTCTGGCCCTTAGTCACCCTCAGCATTGCTCAGTTTCCTGTCACACAACAGATGGTTAATGAAGGAAACACGAACACTGGTGAGGTACACACACCTTAGAATCCCCAACCAGCTGAGAGAAAAACAGGTAGCACAGACCCAAGGTCAGAGTTCAGAAGCCTTAGGAGAGAAGGCGGAATGGAAACAGGAAACACTGGGAGGAAATAGGGGAAGTGATTAGTGTTGTTGTTAGGTACCATCGAGTGGCAACCCTGGGGACACAGAACAGAACCCTAGCTGGTCCTGCATCAGCTTCACCAGCATGGCTACATTTGAGCCCATTTGCTGCTGCCACTGTGCCAATACCCGTCTTGTCGGGGTATTCCTCTACTTTACCAAACATGATGTCCTTCCTTCATTAGGAAGGACTGGTTCCTCCTAATAGTATGCCTGAAGTATGAGAGACGAAGTCTGGCCATCCAGGCTTCCAAAGAACATTCAGGCTGTACTTCTTCCAAGACAGATTGGTTTGCTCCTTTGGCAGTCCATGATACTTTCAATATTCTCCTCCCAACATCTTAACTCAAATGCATCAATTCTTCTATGGTCTTCCTGATTCACTGTCCAGCTTTCACATGCATATGAGGAGATTGAAAATACCATGACTTGAGTCACACGTACTTTAGTCCTCAAGCTGCCATCTTTGCTCTTCAACACTTTAAAAAGGTCTTGGGCAGCAGATTTGCCTAATGCAATACATTGTCCGATTTCTTTACTACTGTTTCCATTAGTGCTGATGGCTGATCCAAGAAGAATGAAGTCCTTGACAACTTCAATCTTTTCTCCATTGACAAGAATGTTGTTTATTGGTCCAGTGATGAGGAATTTTGTTTTCTTTACATTGAGATGTAATCCACACCAAAGTCTGTGCTCTTTGATCTTCATTAGTAAATGTTTTAAGTCTTCACTTTCAGCAAGCAAGGTTGTATCATTTGCATATCGCAGGTTGTTAATGAGTCTTCCTCCAATCCT